AAAATAATATGATATGAACAAAGCGCTAGATGAAAATGAAAATATATTGAAACCTCATGCATTATTTTGTGTATATGCATCGAGGGATACCTCTATTTCTTCATGATAGTACGGACGCATACACTACTAGTTAGGGGAATGTTCATTATGTTTGTCATAATGCTACCGTAACGGTCGTTATTCCTAATGGGTATCCAGCATCAACAGCTACAGAAGAATGTTCGCCAAACCAGAAAGGGCCCAAGGAGGTGCACGAACCGACTGGTGGGTCCATACTCACATGTATGGACTATGTGTAGGAAAATTAAGTACACATCAAATTGCTCGTTAAGATAGCCGAAAATAATAGTCTCATTCATGAAATTGCATGAGTTTGCATTTAAGAGGAATAAAAAATTGCATGTGTTTGCATTTTACCGCAATAGTGGGACCCGTTACTGACAATTTAAAGCTATAATAATCCTTTAGATATATATATATATGATTGTAGAAGGTTTTGGTATGAAATAGGGTTGTAGAAGGTAAAAATGGCGTTAGGATATAATGGGAGTTAACAGAAAAGTTGGGAAATTTTGCAGAAAACGCGTGGTGCACGCGAGGCATATGAGGTAGGGCGAGTGACAGGTGCGACTGTGTGCAATCCAAGCATGTGGGTTAAGCACATCGAGTCTCTATTGGTGCATGAGGGCGCGTGTGACACTATTTTATTTCCCAATTCTTTCTGTTCGACTCGTTTTGACGTGTTCTATTAAGATTGGCCTTACCCTTAAAATTATGAAGTATATGTCTAATTGAAGAAATTTTGTTGAATTACCTTTTTAAGTATACACCACAAGGGAAAAAGAGTTCGAAAACAAGTAGCATATCGAGTTTCTCAAACAAGTTCTTAACTTATTTTTTGCAACACATGAGTACGTTGATTACATGATTAAGAGTTTATGACAGTAATATGTGCATTGATGTTATGAATATCTATTTGTACATTGTGATTGTTTGCCTGATATGTAAGTATGCTATAAATGATTAACAACGTTCTATGAATTGAACGTTATAAATATATGAATGTATTCATAATATGTGAGCATGCTAGGTATGTTAGTGGACAGATTATGACTCTAGGATATGTTTATAGTTTGTTGAGCTACAGGTCGTTAATTATGAGTATTGTAGTTTTCTGATTCTTGCAGAGTTCCTAACTAACGCGCTGTGAGCTAAGTTAGGAACAATGATCGTTGGTATATATGATGTTACATGCCGCTAGAGAAATTAGTCGACAGGCCGTATTTGATCGAGAGCGAGTCTTACATAAGAGTCCAAAAATCCCAATAAGCACACAGAAAGCGAGTAACCTAAGCTAGAGGTAGTTAAAATACCTTATTAACGTACCGATGATCCTAGTAAGAGAAACTAAGAATCAATAGTTAATAAGACTTAAAAACAACGGGAAAAATAAGTAATAAACTTGAGAATGACAAGTTAGCTATTTACCCAGTAAATTAATTACTCGTCAAAATTATTTTAATTTTTCTTTCAAGATAAAGATGATGCAAGCCAACAGAAGACGAGACCAGTAAGCTAAAGACTATAGAGAATCAATTTTTGAGCTTATTTTATGTACATATCCTTTCGCGGTTGAAAACTTACTTTGGTTATTTTTTTAGTTATAAAAAAGTCATGATTTTACATGTTTACTTGTTATGAAAATGTCATGGTTTTATGACTTGTTTTTCAAAGTAAATGATATATGTCAATGGTAACTCCTATGAACCAAGCGGTCGATGAGTGAGTTTTACATAGGTATCTTTATATGGCTGATGACAGTATCGTAACTTGAGACCATGACACATGCATAGAATAGTCGCATTTATTTTATTAGACTTAGACTAGAATATGTTGTGTCATGTTAAAGATGATTTCAAACACATAAGTCCATATCAGTGTTTTAAAATAAAGTTTATGTTAGGAAGAAATTTAAATGAAGTATTTTCGCATTCAATGTTTATTATATATATCAAAGTTGAGCTAAACCTAACTTTGTCTTTTAACCTTCTTATTTATGGCACAATTCTCTTGTTTTTTTTTTTTTTTTTTTTGACCTATTTCGATCTTCGCTCTCATTCTCAAGAACTAGCATTTTTATCATTTACCTGTAGTTTTTTTTATCATATATTTTTTATAATGATAACGAGTGTTAAATTAATATCTGAATCCGTATCAATAGATAGTTAGTGTTGTTTTCACTTTAATTTCTTGTTTTTTTTTACCATTGTTTGACTATATTTGCAAGAAAGATAACGAGAGCTAAATTGATATCGAGATCTAGTTGTAATAAGGGTTTTCTTATGTCTAGATCAACCTGTTACATCATTTTCAAGGATACTCTATCTAATATGAAGTAGGTAGCACCGTCTTCTAGGCACCTTTCTTTAGAAATGAGAGATGCTTTAAGGTTGATGAATGAAATAAGGGAATAAAGAGGATATTTAAGAAGTAATGGAAAAAAAGATGGAAATAAGAAATTATTGAATCGTATGTTAGAGAGAAGAAGAGGAATCGAAGAGAGAAATGATCTATGAAACGTAGATAAACGGTTTTTGTCTATATACTAATGGTAATAATTTTTTTAAGTTTAACGATATTAACGATAATTTTGAATGTTTGTGTGTATTTTTTAAATATGATAGTGACGATTCCGTTTATATACTAATGGAAAGATTATTTGTAAATATTTTTAAAAATTTTATAGGTATTTATAAGTTTTTAAAAGTTTAAAGATATTTTTAAAATTTTTGAAAAGTTAAAAATAGTGGGGGTAAGAATAAAAAATAATATTACAAAAAAAAATTAAAAGTTTAAAGATATTTTTAAAATTATCAACACGAACCGGCACAATCTGACTCAAAGACACAGTGTCCACTCTCTAGGGGAGTGGTAATTTGGAATTATATGAAGGATTCAATTCCCATGGTTCACTGCAAATCTAAAGACAACGATTTAGGCAAACATGAGATCAGCCTTGGAGAGAAGTACTCCTGGACCTTCTAAGAAAATTTTTGGCAATCATGATTTTGGTGCAATCTTAGCAGCAAACACGAGTATGCTTCTGGTGAAGTATTTTGGTCAGAAATGGAAAATTGGCGTAGTGATCCATGTTATAATAGTATTTGTACTTGGGAAGCAGGAGACGATGCATTTCCTTACGTTTTGGTTCTAAAAAACATATCTATTAGAGTACCCTTGGAAATGATGTAACTAAGCTTCATTGGATTGATTTCAACTTGAACACAATTCTTGAATTAGACACAAGAAAACCCTTATTACTTTTTTTTGTTTTTTTCAAGTAGACGCATTTTAAAATTGTGAGGCTAACGTCGATACATAATATGTCAAAGCGGACAATATCTACTAGCGGTAGGTTTAGGCTGTCACAATCACAAATGGTATTAGAGTCAGTTACTAGGTGATGTATTATCGAGAATGCTGGGTCACCAAGGGGTGAATTGTGAGATCCACCACATTAGTTGGAAAGGGAAATGAAGCATTTTTTATAAGAGTGTGGAAACCTTCTCCCTAGTAAATGCATTTTAAAATTGTGAGGTGACGACGATACATAACCAGCTAAAACGAACAATATCTACCAGCAGGACTTGAGCTGTCTCATTAAGAAAGTCAATTAAGTCTCACAACTTTTGACTCTAAGTGTAATAACTCAAAATTAGAAAAAATGAAAAAAAAAGAAAAAAATTTCCCGGTCATCAATTATGCAGAGAAAGTGGGGGAATTGGTCTCTACTATAAAATGGAGGTCCCTTACTTCATTTCATCTCACTTGAACGGTTCGACCTCAGTCGAAAACTACACTTTCTGACAGCTCTAAGTCGACATTTCGACTTATCTGGCTTGGGTCTTATATGCTCAAACCCTTTCCTACTAGTTTTAACCCTTCCGAAGTGTTTAAGATTAGTATGCCTTTTAACTAATTTAAATTATTAATTTATTTAGAGTCTAGTTTAAATTATTTTATGCAAAATGTGGTTTAGTTAATTTATATTATTTGGAGTTAAGTTTAATTATTTTATTCAGAATTAGGTGAGTACTCTCATAGTAGGATTCTAATTTATAATCGTGGACTCCTGGGGTAGAATTAAATTTCAGAGATCAACGTCAAGCTAGTATCAAGAGCTCGTAGTAGCTTCGGCTTAGATCCACCAAGTAAGTGGCTCTACTATCGGTCTCGTTGGAAGAATTTTTTTATGTATGATGACACATGCCGAGTGCCTTTGGGCACGTGTTATGTGTGTGATATGCCTAGTAATATGATGTTATGAATGTGTCATTATATGATATGTCAAGCGATATGATGGTATGAATGAAATGTTATTCTATGTCACACTAAACTACGTAATGTATGAGATCTATGTCACACTAAACTATGTAATATATGAGATGTTATAATGCACTATAATGTGTTATGTTAAAATGTACGAGTTCGCAACAAACATGTTTTCATTTTCCACTTTAAATGACTTAAACATGCATAAGATAAAAAGCCTAAGCCTATCTAAAATTTTAGAAAATTGAGTCGTTCCACGAATGAGGTCACTAATTTTTAATACTCACTATTTTCGAGCAAAGAGTTTATTTCCACAACCGTTCTTCCATTCTTTTTATGAGTATTGTTTTTTGTTTGAACTAAGAACAGAATTTTACAAAATCAAGGATTAATTTTATCATTTACGTCTTAAAAGTTTTCCATGGGAATCTCAGATAAAAGCATAGTTTTAAAGACTTTCATAACATGCATGTGGTGTAACCCACGCTATACTAACAAAAAAAAAAAAAAAATGTTGCAAGGCATTCAATTTTGCACAAAGAAAAAGGACAAAGTTCCATGTAGTTTTCCTTTTGATAATTCAAAATGAGAAATTTTAATTCAAAAATTCATATAAAAAAAATGAGGGGAAATTTTAACTGCTTTAAATGAAAAAGGACGAGGAAGTGTAGGGACAATAAATTTGCTTGCTGGTAACTAGAATGTCTCCTGTTGGAAGGTATTCATTCTCACGTTTTGGAACAAAATGGCGCATCAGAATCATGTTCATCTAATAAACCATCAAGAATGTCCCATAATTAATCTGTAAGCTATCAGTAAACACGACGCACCCAAAGTTTGTAAAGTAGCTGGAAACCTGAGATTCTCCCTCGCAGACAAAGAAGAGTACAACTACATGCAAGTGACAAGGAACATGACAGCAGTTCGGAGGATCTTGGAAAGAACATCTCATAGCCTGCTAATGACTGCCTCGACCTCGGCAGGGGTGTATAGATGGTATGTCGGAGCCACCTTTGCAATATCAACGTTATTCGGAGTCACCTGTGATCGGAGGGGCACAGATTTGATGGCGAAAGATAGTGTTAGAATTATATTGCACAAACAGGATTACAAAAGCACTATTTACTATTTATTTACCTTCTCTTCCATAACTTGCTTCAGAATGGAAAGTGCTATGGTTTCAGCTTCTAGAAGAGTTAGGTCCTGCAATCAATGGAGGTGATATTGAACAAATACCCTATAAATCCATTTTACATATGTGGCAAAAACGGAGATTTAAAGTGCTTAAACATGTGTGTAAAAGTTTTAAACGTTGTTGGAACCCGTTGGTTAGAGAAAAATGGCCAGATTTATCCAAAAATAATAACAATAATAATAATAAGGAATGCAAGGAATGTTCGTTGTTTAATATTCAAACTACGAGAGAATTAGACATATCTCATTTTGCTTGTAAATATTATATATACATATATTTACCTATATTATATATCTCAAGGCTTTAAAATGCGTCTACTAGGGAAAGGTTTCCACACCTTTATAAAGGATGTTTCGTTCTCCTCAACCAATGTGGGATTGTGTCCCCAACCAATGTGGGATTCTCACAATCCACCCCCCTCGGGGCCCAGTGTCCTCGCTAGCACTCGTTCCTTTCTCCTATCAATGACATGTCCACCCCTTCGGGGCCCAACATCCTTACTGGCACACCGCCTCGTATCTACCCCCTTTGGGGAACAACCTCCTCGCTGGCACATAATCCGGTGTCTAGCTCTTACACTATTTGTAACGGCTCAAGCTCATCGCTAGCAGATATTGTTTTCTTTGGGCTTTCCCTTTCCGGCTTTCCTTCAAGGCTTTAAAACGCATCTGCTAGAGAAAAGTTTCCACACCCTTATAAAGGGTGTTTCGTTCTCCTCCCCAACCAACGTGGGATTGTGTCCCCAACCAATGTGGGTATGGTAGCTTGAATCCATTCCTCTGAGCTCTTTATTATTTATATGGTCCTTGTTGACTACTAGGTCATCCCCATGGTGGTTTGTAATATCAAATATATATCAAGTTTTCACATTTTAACTTCCACAAAGAAATCAAAATGTAGATAAAACGTCACCATAGCTCACCTCATATTGCTTGTAAATAAAACGCCATTCTTAGTCTAATTTTGTCCAAGTTGAGCTACCAAAATTGTATGATTGGACAAAAAATATATGGGTTTGGGATGTTCTTCATCTGTCTAGGTTTTTGAAAATAGATGAAAAACGAAAGGTCGGTCTACTACATGCTACAAGCCACCATAGAATTCAGTAATAATATCTGACACTTAAAGTAGAAAACATACCTTGTTGTATTGCTCTTGCAGAGAGCTATCTGCACCTTCAGAACCTGAACCGATAGCTTTAGCATTGCATTGCCAGAAAGTGCCAGATGGATCAGTGTAGAATCTGCATACCACAGATCTCAGGTTAAGAACCGAGGGGGAAAACATCATATTTTGCCAATTCCGGAGGTATGAATGTTAAAGTAATATACAATGCTATCACAGATATTCTTGAATATTGCATTGATGATGCAATAAAGTAATAAATAAATTTTTAAAAAATGCTATTAGACATTAAAAAGTAAATGAATGCAGTGGCCACAGAAGCACTTAAAATTAGATGTACGAGTGTCAAACGGAATCTCAGTTCATAAAGCTAGAAGATGCATTCATGAGATAGAAACCAGTAAAAAATAGAATATAACGATTAAGAATGGGTAAAACAACAATAATCATGCAAAGGGGATAATCATGAAAAGAAATAAATCCAGAAGCAACACCAAAGGAGAATCATTGAAGTGGACGTTCTTAATGAAAACCTTAATTTTATTTTTATATTATTATAAGAAACACCACAATGTCTTCTTTCTAGTTGTAACCACCAGAATGTCCCAAAAACATTCACCTAAACCAACTATAAACTGACACATCCCTAATTACAGTACAACCCTTTTTTAATGTTCGGAGTGTCCTAAGCCAACTTGCACGCACCTATACTAATCTCACAACACGAATTTGACTCTACTATATTGAAATTATATCTTAAGAAGGAAACCACTATGGAATGAACTCATTCTCTCGAAGTCCTTTATTATTCAGTACAGCCTTACAACTTTGTCCCATGTAGGTGGGTACACTAACAATGCTTCACCTACCATATAAATTATTTTTGCTCCAACTGCCATTTGGTTCTTGGTTTTAAGGAAAAATATAAAAGTCCAAGCTCACTGCTAGCAGATATTGTCCTCTTTGGATTTTCTCTTCTGGGCTTCTCCTCAAGGTTTGAAAACACGTCTAAAAAGGTGAGATTTCCACACCCTTATAAGGAATAATTTGTTCCCCTCTACTGGGATCTCACAAATGGTTGAGTCTATCTTGATTATTTTGACTGTGATTTGAATAGAAAAATGAGGATCTTTGGGACAAAAATGATCAATTGAGTATTATGCGATCCCTTTCAATTTACGTTACCAAAGTGTAGTATTGAGATGTTATCTTTTTCTTGATTTTTCACTCATCAGAATCTTTTCAATTTGTAATCACCTATGTCATTAGGGTTGGGGATGACCATTTAATTCTTCGACTTACCGTTTATCTACACTACAAGTCCCTCATTTAAAAGATCTGAATGGAGCTAATCAAGCAGTATCGCATAAATTTCAACAGTTGCGATTTTAACCCTTTTTTTCCTGGGTACACCTAGTAGAAGTATGAATTTATCTCAATGATAAAAGTACCCAAAAATGGAGGTTTTTATTCTTAAATAAAATGATATAACCTCTTTTCCATGCCATGCCAATGGAATGATGCAAAAAAAAAGTGCAAAATACAGAATGCAGAGAACAACTAATCACATAAATCAGTTTACTGTTTATCAGTGGTAAACTTACAAGCTGGGCCCCTTCTCATCATGGCCGGCAATAAGAAGAGCTACACCAAATGGTCGAGACTGTATAGAGAAAAAAATGTGTTAGCAAGTGAAATTTTGAAATACTAACACCATGTATTCTTTTAAACACGGAAAATAAAAGGCATCAAATTCTTTCGAGAAAACAGAGGATGATTATGCGGAATACAGCCCTCCAACTTTTTACTAGGACTCGATATTGACTTCATTTCAAAGTAATAACAGGAAAAATATAGTAATATCTAAATTATATTCATATGGATAACATCAGAATGTCAGTAATTCACAAACTCATAAACTTTGACATATGTAAAGAGAGCATGAAATAATTCCCTAATCAAATATTACATATGAAGGTTATATTTTAAAGGGATTTGCTAAGTAAGTAAATAAATGGTGTTAATTCATTGCCATTATAAAGCCAGTTTACTGGAACAAATAACTTAACATGAAGTGGAGCATAGATAGGGTAAATGAATAGAAAAAGTAGATGGGTAATAACCATGGACTCCTCATCGCCTTCGCCAAATCTTAGGGCTAGATCACAAAGAGCTTGTGTTGTAGACTCCACAGTCATTGGCTCACTGTATGAGAAACGATGGTTCTACAGATATGAAGTTCAAAATTCAATAGTTTGTCTTTGAAAAGATATCAACAATAGATGCAAGGCAAGTCATCAACAGCACCTGGGTCTCAACTCGAGCATGCTCAACAAGTGTGTGAGCATCAGCAATCAATCCACTCATCGCACATCCTAAATGTTCATCAATTTCCATGATTTTTTCCACGCTACTTGGTTCCTAAATAAAAGTTTCAACAAAAATAGTGCTAAGCTCACTATTAGAATTCAAGATCCAAAAAGGAAAGGCTCTCAAAGTACAAACAGATAATGGGTCAATAACTAAATTTCAGGTAAAGCAGATAATAACGTTCTATTTCAATATCGACTACCCGGCATTTGACTTGAGCTAAACATGAAAATACATGCAATTGACCACCAATAAAAACTTCTTGGGATATATACAAACTTAGACATTCTTAAGGAAAAGGGGCAGACCAGTAGTGGAGATGTAATACGTTTTTCAACCGCAAGCACAACGCCTTCCTTCGTTTTCAAACCAATTGCCGTCGAACCAAGCTGGAAAAATTAAGGGGGAAAGCAGTTGATTCAATAAAATAAACAAAAAAAAAACGTGGAGCAAATTATGCTCGTGTCCTGTCACTCAACTTACCAGTCTTCTCCTAATCTCACAAACATTTTATAAATTTAATCAAAATAACTAAGAACTGTGATAGCGAAGAGGAAGAAAAAGATAGACTACCTTAATAGCCTCAATCGCGTACTCAACCTGGAACAATCGTCCTTCAGGAGAGAAAGTATTCACACCTCTATCATATTCAGTCCTGAAAAAATCCACATAAAAGGAGAGACCGAAAAATCAAACAATAGAAACAACACAACAAGAGGAAAGAGAAAACAAAAATTGCACTAGATTACCTGGTCAGAAACATTTTGCGCTTCAATGAAAGAAATCCGTCTAGATTCTGCGGAAAAACAGAGAAATTAGAACATTTCAAAAGCAGGAGCAAGACAAACTCAGCACCAAAATCTAATTTTCAGCGATGAAAACTAAAGAAAATGGAGATCTACTTACCTACAAAGGAAGAAGAAGAAGAAGAAGAAGCAACTTCAGTCTTTTGTGTTGAGGTTTAATCAGACCCTTTCTTGCCAAGCAAGACGAGGGGGCGGGTTTTATGGGTTTCCGGTTCAGCCATTTCTGACCCGGTTCGTAAGATCATGGCTCGGCCCAAAAATTAAACGGACCATACGACATGGGCTTGTATGGTCCAAGCCCAATATAACGTTTTGAAAAGTTTGGAGATTTTTCTTATCAAATTATCATTCATTTTTTCCAATTAAACTTAATATACATAATATATAACTTTTATTCACATTTATTATAAATGAAAGAGGAAAACACTCGAAGACACGAGAAACATCAATCTCGAGATTCATAGTTAGAAACTAGTCTCAGTTAAGACGAAACAAGTACGGGAAGTCAAAGCATTCCAACCCAGTCATAAATCGAAGGTTTTCAACCAAATCTTGATCGAGGGTCAAATGATTTGTTGAAGGGACACTAGTAGATACATTTTTAAAGAAAGAAAAAATAGTAATTTGTTTAACAAATTTAGTTACTACGAAGGGACACTAGTAGATACATTTCTAAAGAAAGAAAAAATAGTAATTTGTTTAACAAATTTAGTTACTACGGAGAAGGAGGAGGTGAAAGAAATTTCATCCACAAAAATTCCAACCAACTCCGGGAAGCAATGAAATCCCGTCTTATAAAATGACCTCCCTTTCCAATCATTCAAATCACTCCTCCTCTCAATTTCACTTCAATTTTTGTTGTCACCAACAACTGGTATTAGAGCGATCTTGTAGCAACAAGAATGACAGTAGAAAAACAAGTTAAGAGCTACGTTCAGCCCGCCATCCCAAGGTTCGATGGTCACTATGATCATTGGGCAATGTTGATGGAAAATTTTCTCAAATCAAAGGAGTTTTTTGATATGGTGGAGACGGGTTATGAAGAGCCAAATGAAGGCGAGGTACTCTCAGCTGGTCAACAGCAACTGTTGGCAGTATCGAAGTTGAAGGACCTGAAGGTCATGAACTATTTATTTCAGTTCGTTGATAGGACTATCTTGAAAACAATGCTTCAGAAGAAGACATCCAATGAAATTTGGGATTCTATGAAGAGGAAGTATCAAGGCTCAACGAGAGTAAAGCATGCTCAACTTCAAGCAGTTAGAAGAGACTTTGAAATTCTCCAAATGCAAAAGGGAGAAACGGTGAATGATTATATTGGCAAGGTTATGAGTCTTGCAAGTAAAATGAGGATGCATGGTGATTCAATCACGGATGTTGTGGTCGTAGAAAAGATTATGCGATCACTCTCCAAAGTTCGATTACATTGTATGTTCTATCGAACAAGCAAACAATGTCGAAGAGATGCAAATAGATGAACTCCAAAGCTCCCTATTAGTACATGAACAGAGACTAATCGTACAAGTGTAATAGAGGAGATGACAGCCTTAAAGATATCCACATCAGATGAAACTTTAAGCCCAAGAGGTAGAGGGCAAAGAAGAGGCAAAGGTTGTGGGAGAGGCAATCGAGAAAGAAGTGGAGATGTTGGCAGGTCAGCAGATCTAGTCAGAAACGATTATGACAACAAAGGCAAAAGACACTTTGACAAGTCTAAGGTGGAATGCTACAGATGTAGACGCCTTGGACATTACAAAAATGAATGCTATACTAGGCTCCAAAAGGAGAAAAGAGATCCATCAATTTTGTGGAGAGAAGAGAAGAAGAAACATTGTTAATGTCATTCCATGCTATGAAGGTTGCAGATCAAGGTGTATGGGTTGTAGACTTTGGATGCAGCAACCATATGACAGGTTGTAAGGAATTCTTCTCAACTCTGGATGAAAATTTTCATACTGATGGTGTTAATATAACACATGCGGAAGCAATTTGGATCTTAGGCACTTTTAGAACATCAATTATTGTAAATCACTAGCATGTTCATAAGTATTAAAACTTAATGAGTTTAAGTACTAACCTTT